GACTGATTTCAGCATCTTGGTCTTAATTCCCGCAACGTCTGAGTTTACCATTGCTTTGCAACGTTCCCCTTGCCAGATTCACGGTGACCTTCTTATTTAAGTGAGCAGCCCTAAACTTCAGTTGGAATATGGCAACTTTGCCCTTTTATTGAGTCAGTCTTGCTGTTATGCAATACAAAATGGAGCCAGAGGGAAAACAAATACTTAAATAAAATAAACAACTGCGGATGTTGGAATTCTGAAACAAAAAGCTCATGAATGTGGGACTTTTTTTGTTCTTGCTGTATAACTGGTTAAACATTTCTCCTTTAATCTCAAAACTAAGTCATATGTAGGTCGTGATGAATTAAGTGACTGTCAGATCTTAATGTGGTAACTGTTTTGAGATACACATCTGTAAACTTTCCCTTTCAAGTTTCATATAAAAGCAGTTTGCAAATGACATTACTTTCAGCACAGGGTGGAAATTCAGAACATACAACTTTTTTTTTTGTTTGCTTCTCCTGCTATCCCAAAGTTGTAAATGCTGGCCACACACACGTCCATTCCTCCCTGGGTTGGAATCCATCTCTATTATTTCCACCCACAACTCCCAGTTTTCTCCCAACTCTCCTCTCTTCGGCCTCTCTTCATTACTACAGTTCATATCTGCTCATAGAAAATGAAATAAATGAGTGTTAGAGGCTTCCAACGAATCCTACGCAATTATACAAGGCACTAATCAAGCCACACTTGGAATGCATGGAATGTTTACGCGTTTGTTATATGAGAAAACATATTAGAATTGCACTTGTGCCCTTTATCCAAAAGAAACTCAGAATTGGAAGTAATGCAGTTAACTCACCAAGTAGCATACTATACGTGGAACTATCAATAGCGGCGCAGCACCCAGAATGCCAAACAGTATTAAATTCCCCCAATCACGGAAGTGGAAAATGTGCGCAGGCGCAGTGCCATGTGTGAATGGATATTGCGCGGCATGATGGCGATGGAGGAGTGTTGTCTTATGCGGTTCCTGGAATGTTAACAATTGGGCAGAACGAGGGGGCACTGCATTCAGCAGATGGACGGAAAAGCTTCATAAAGATGTTCGGTAAGCTGCAAACTCCAGCACGACCTTTTGATGCTTTCGTTTGTCGCCAATGCCGGAGTGTAAAGTTGAATTCATGGCCGCCATCTTGTTTGGTAACGACGAGCAGTGGGGCGCAGGCGCGGCGGCAAATGTTTGTTGGGGGAATGCGCACGAGCTGCCGCCATGTTCTTAGGGGACAATATTGTTCATGACTGGGAGGAGTTTGCCACCAATTGCTTACAATGAGGACAACTTCTCCATCAAGCGGATTTGTGATTTGAACAAGTTGTGAGTGGGCAAATACATAGTAGATAAAATATCATGTGGATAAATTTGAGGTTTTCCACTTAGTAGCAAAAACAGGAAGCCAGTTTATTGTCTGAATGGTTATAGATTTGAGAAGGGACACCAGCCTGTGAAGGTAAGCTTGTATGCACAGATGGTGGTGAAGAATGCAGATTGCCTGTTAGCCTTCACAGTGATATGATTTGAATACAGAAACAAGAATATCGTGCTGGAATTGTACGTGGTCATTGTGAGACTGAGGGGGCATCCAATAGAAACGTATAAAATTCAGGGCCGTGCAGAATAAACACCGGAAAGATGTTCCTGATGATTGGGGAGCCTAGAACCAACCTTCAAGGTTGAAGGATGCAGTGTAGGACTAAAGACTAAGACGAGCATAAATGTCTTCACCCAGGGAGTGGTGAGCTTGTGGAATTCTCTCCCACAGCAAACAGTTGAGGCCACAACATAGGACTGAAGTGTTCAAAGAGAAAGAAGGAACAGGGTACTTGTGTGCATGTTTAGCCATGATCATTTAAATGTTGAAGCTGGATCAAAGGGCTGAATGGACTTCTCCTGCTCTTATTCTGTCTGACTGTATTGATGAGGCATATAGTAACAGAGGAGGAAGAACTATTCCCAACATCAACTGGGGTAGTCATAGTGTGAAAGTTTTGGAGGAATGGAATTCTTATCGTGCATCCAGGGCAGCATTCGAAGCCAGTATGAAGAAGACCCTACCAGAGAAGGAACAGTACTGGACTTAGGTAATTGAAGCCAAGCAAGTAGCTGGAACATCAGTTAGGGAATCAGTTGCAGACATTGATAGTAACTGTGTTAGATTCAAGATTGTCTATCACTGGACAAGGATGGGCATGGAATCAAAGTTCTGAACCAATGGAAGGCAGATTGTAATAAGATTGAATAAAATTTGGCTAGAGTGGGCTGAGAGCAGATACCTTTCAGTAAATGTGTGTCACATCAGTGGGATACATTGAAGAAGGAAGTCGAGAGTTCCAATATAGTCGAAGGCTGGGACCAACAAATCTTGTGAACTCTGGATATACAGGATTGGCTAAAGAGAAGAATGGAGGCATTTAGCAGCTACCAAAGGTTCAAAACAGCAGAAGCCTTAGCTAAGTACCGAATGTGCAGGGGGAGTCTTAAAAAAAAGGAAATTAGAGCAATAAAGGGACTTGAAAGGATAATTGGCAAAATATAAGTGAAAGGGGTGACATGGGTTTGGAAATCAGAAAGAAGGACTGTGATATACTTTTTAAAAAGTTCGCATAGAAAGAGAGGAAGCTTCTGATTGGTCTGGCAGGCTTAAAAGCAGAAATCTCCTGGGCCAGATGAAATGTATCCCAGATTGGTGAGTATGGCAAGACCAAATATAGCAGGGGCACTGGCAATAATTTTTAACTGCTTTCTGAGCACTGGGAAGATGCCAAAGGCCTGGTTGTCAAAGAAAGGTTGTTAGGAGAAACCAGGGAACGAAAATTGATCAGGGATAGGCAGTATGGTTTTGTGTGAGGAAAATCGTGTTTCATAGACTTGATTGAGTTTTTTGAGGAAGTTACCAAAAAGGTGGTTGATGGCAGAGCAGTCGATGTTGTTTATTTCAAATTTAGTAAAAGCTTTTGACAAAGTTCTGCCTGGTAGACTAATTAGTAAAGTTAGATCACATGGGATCCAGGGTGAGCGTGCCAATTGGATACATTATTGGCTTAACAGCAGGAGACACAGTAATGGTGAAGGCTTGCTTTTTGGATTGGGGGACTGTGACCAACGCTGTTCCATATGGATTAGTTCTGGGTTCTCTTTTGTTTGTCATTTATATAATAATTTGGATGAGAATATAGAAGGCATGTCAGTAAGTTTGCAGATGATACCAACAGTGAATAAGGTTTTCTAAGATTACTATGGGATCTTGATCAAATGGGTTGAAAAATGGCAGATGGAGCTCAATCTGGATAGTTATGAGGTATTGCATATAGGTACAGGAAACAAGGGTAGGGCTTCTACAATTAATGGTACAGCCTTTGGCAATGTTGTGGAACAGAGGGACCTTGGGGTGTAGGTACATAATTCTTTAAAGTTTGCATCACATAGAGACAGTGTGGTTAAAAAGACATCTAGCACGCTTACCTTCATTGCACAGCCCTTTGAGCATGGGAGTTGGGTACGTTATGTTGAGGTTGTACAGGACGTTGGTGAGGCATCCCCTGGAATACTGTGTTCAGTTCTGGTCGCCCTGTTATAGGAAGGATATTATCAAATTAGAGAGGGTTCAGAAGAGATTTACCAGGATGTTGCCAGGTATGGAAGGTTTGAGTTATAAGGAAAGGCTGGATAGGCTGGGACTTTTTTCACTGGAGTGTAGGAGGTTGAGAGGTAACCTGATAGAAGTTTATAAAATAATGAGAGGTACAGACAGAGTTGATGGTAGTTGTCTTTTCTCTGAGATGGGAATTTCAAGACTATGGGACACACATTTAAGGTGAAATGAGAGATTTTAAAAAAGACATGAGGCAATTTCCTTACACAGAGTGGTTCGTATATGGAATTAACCACCTGAAGAAGTGGTGGATGTGGGTACAATTACAACATTTAAAAGACCTTTGGATGGATATATGAATAGGAAAGGTTTGGAGGGATATGGTCCAGGAGCAGGCAGGTGGGACGAGTTGAGTTTGGGTTATATTCAGCATGGACTGGTTGGACTGAAAGGGCTGTTTCCATGCTGTATGACTCTGTGATGTGATATTGTTATTCAAGAAGGGAACAAGGGATAAACCAGGAAATTACAGGCCAATCAGCCTCACCTCTGTGGTGGAGAAACCATTAGAAGTAATTCTGAGGGACAGAATTAATCTGCATTTGGAGAGGAAGTAATCGTTCAGGAACAGTTAGCACGGCTTTGTTAACGGGAGGTCATGTCTGACCAACTTTTTTTTTTTAGAAGAAGTAACCAGGTGTGTGGATGAGGGCAATTCATTTGACATAGTCTGCTTGGACTTCACCAAGACTTTTGATAAAGTCCCACAGAGGAGACTAATAACAAAGGCAACAGTCCATAATAAAGTAATTTGGCTGATTGGCTCCAGAATTGGCTAAGTAGTCAGAAGTGATTTGTGAGGCATGTTTTTGTGACTAGGAGCCTGTATCCAGCTGGGTTCCATTAGGATCAGTGTTGGGGCCCTTCCTGTTTGGGTTTATATAAGCGATTTACAGTGAATGTTGGGTTTTGATCAATAAATTCATGGGTGATATGAAAATTGGTGGGTGGTAAATAGTGAGGAAGACAGCCTTCTGAAGAGAGGTTGTGCAATTTAGGCCAAACTCTCTGAAGTGTAAAAGAATGAGAGGCTACCTAATTGAGTTATATAGTATGCTGAAAAGCATTGAGAAAGTAGAAATTGAAAGGATGTTTCCTTCTGTGGGACATTCTGGAATGAGAGGTTATAGCTGTAGAATAAGGGTTGGCAGGTTTAACACAGATGAGGAGAAATTACTTGTCTCAGACGGTTGTGAATCTGTGGAATTCACTATCGCAAAATGAGGTGAATGCTGGGAAATTGAGTAAATTTAAGCAGGTAATTTAGTGAGTATTTAATAATGGGTTGTAGAGTTATGGCCAGCAGGCAGGAAAGTGCAGTTGGGGTGGGATGAGATCAGCCACACTTTTATTGAATGGCTACTCCTGATGCTAGTTCTTGTGTTCTTAGATTACAGGAGGATATAGACAGACTGGCTGATCTGTAGCAGTTGGAATTTAATCCAGATAAGTGAGAGGTGATACACTTGGGCAAGGCAAATGAGCCAATGGAATACATGATGAACAATGATGAACGAGGATCGGAGTGATCTTGCTGTGCATGCCCACCCATCCCTTAAGGTAAGAGGACAAGCAGGTAAAGTGGTTAAAAGGCAAATGGGACACTTGCCTTTATTAGCCGGGGCATAGAGTTTAGGAGCAGGGAGGTTATGCTGGAACTGTATGTACAGTTGGTGAGGTCCCAGCTGGAGTGTTGTGTGCAGTTCTGGAATCCACAGAATACGAGGGATGTGATTGCACTGGAGACAACAGAGGAGATTTGTCAGAATCCTGTCTGGGCTGGAAAGTTACAGTTATGAAGAAGGGTTGGATAGACTGGGATTGTTTTCTTTGGAGCAGAGGAGATTGAGAGGGGCAGGGTTGAGATGTATAAGTTATGAGGGGCATGGCAGAATTTGAAACTGGATTCTCAGAACATTCCCTGAATCTCTGAATTAGTAGTCCAGCACTAATACTATTAACCCAACACATCCCCCAGAATTCTGACCCACCCAACAATACAGGAACAGCAATATTGTTCCAAGTTTGCGGTAAGGAGACCTTTATACGACAGATTAGGGGTGGTGTGCCATTGTTGCTTTGGCTGCCTAGGTTGATACTTGGTGCTCTGACCAGTTTCATTCCCTTTTGATTTTTCTCTCGTGGTTTGATATTTTATAAAATGCTTAAGAACAGGGCACTTGGAAAACAGTGGCTGGGTTGGACAGAGTCAGCATGGATGTCCGAAAGGGAAGTGATGCTTGGCAAATCTCTTGGAATTTTTCTCGGAATTAATTAGCAAAGTTGATGAGCGGGAGTCAGTGAGCATGGTTTATGTGGACTTTGAGAAGGCTTTTGACAATTCCAGCAGATAATCAGGTGGGAGGGGTGCGGTCTCAGAAACATGTAAAATCTTATTACGATTAGACAGGTTTGATGCAGGAAGGTTGTTCCCGATGCCAGGAGTGCCCAGAACCAGGAATCACAGATTAAGGGTATGTGGTAAACCTTTTACGTCTGAGGTAAGGAGAAATTTCTTCAGAGAGCAGTGAGCTTGTGGAATTTGCTGCCACAGCAAGCTGTCAAGGCCAAGCCATTGTGTGATTTCAAGAAGGATTCGGATATAGCATTTGGCTCAAGCAACCAAAACATGTGGGAGGTAAAGGAAGAACATGCTTTTGAGTTATACGATCAGCCATGATAATACTGATTAGCAGAGCAGGCTCAAAGGGCCGAATGGCCCACTCCTGCTCTAATTTACTGGATTTCACTCGACACATTAGTCAGGAAGAAACTTCTCCCCCTGGTGGAGGGATCAATGACCAGGGTGCATAAATTTACGATCAGAGGCAGGAGATTTTAGAAGGGATGTGAGGAAAATATTTTTCCCTTCGAGGGCAGTGGGAATGTGGAACTTGCTGCCTGTAAAGCTGGTTGGGTCAGAAGCAGTCATAACATTGAAGAAGTGTTGAGACGTGTGTTTGTGCGGCACAGTATTCTGGTCCAGTGCTGGAAAATGGGAGGAGAATAGTAAGGTGGTTGTTTCTGACTGGCACAGCCTTGATGGGCTGAAGGGCCTATTACTCTGTTTGTAGACCTCTATGACTGTAATAACTTTTATACCGATATCACCCACCTGTCCTTTATTAACCTTGGAGCAATGAGCTTCTTGAATTAGCCTTGCAACTAAAATCCCCGATCCCTCAAACCATTCTGATAAAGCCCCTCTCCACCCTCCCAGGGACCCTCCCATCCTTCAGAATGTGTGGGTGATCACTGGTTTGTACAGACCCAGAATGCTCTCTGTTTGTGGCTGTGATGTTATCGCACACTGATAATGACATCACCCGCTCCCCAGGGATATCCACAAATGTGGGATTTTTCTAACTCCAGTGTTTCTGACGTCTTTACAGGTGCCGGCTCCAGCAGAAGATTTTCAAATTGCAGATAGTGAAATTGTTGAGCGGTGAGTAGCTTTAACCATTCTTTTACAATTTGAGGTTTTTGGTGTTTGCCAGTTATCTGTGGGAGGATCCACATCACTGGGGTTGGTGTAACTCCTTTACCGTGGATCTGAAGCCATGGCTGTCCATTAATGTGTGTCGCCTCTCTGTCCTCCCTGATCAGCACTCTGCCATTGTCTAACCTGCTCTGTTTAATGTTTGTTTGCTGAATCTCTGAAGTTTCTGTCATTGCCCATCATCCAAATATGTGCTGCTGACTTAGCAGCTCCAAATTCCCTCTGTACTTCTCACCGTCAGGAATTGTAGAGTCATAGAATCATACAGTTTAGAAGAGGCACTTTAATCCATCGAAGCTGCACCAAAAAAAAACTTAATTTACACCGTTCCCACTTTCCAGTACTTGGCCCATCGTCTTAAAAGTTATGACGTTCAAGTGCTCAGCCAAGTACGTTTTTAAAGATTGTGAAGTTTCCTGCTTCAGTTACCCTCCCAGCCGGTGTATTCCAAATACCCACCACCGTCTGAGTGAAAAACATAAACTTCATCAAATTCTCTCAATCTTCTGTCTTTAATTGATGTACTATTGACCCTTCAACTAAAGGGAACAGATGCTTCCTATCCACCCTGTCTATGATCCTCATAATCTTACAGGAACAGGAGTAGGCCAAACAGTCCCTGGAGCCTGTTCCATCATTCAATGCTGATCTGTCACCTAACACTATAAATGTACCTTTAGCCCATAGAATTGAGTTACAGTGAGTGGTAGACTCATACAGCATAGAAACAGGCCCTTCGGTCCTCTGTGTCTATACTGACCAACAAACTCCAAACTACACTAATCCCACTTACCTGCGCTTGGTCAATAGACTACTATGTTCTGGCATTTTAATTCATTCAGATGCTTTTTAAATGTTACGAGAGTACCTGCCTCCATCACCATCTCAGCCCGTGCATTCCGTATTTCTACCACTCTCTGGGTGAATTCTTCTTCTCCGTTAGGTCTCCTCGAAACCACTTATTCCTCACCTTAAACCTATGCCCTCTGGTCTTAGACATGTCTACTATGGAGAAAAGATTCTCATGATCTGCACTGTCTATAACTCTCAGAATTATGGATACACCACCTGAAACCTCCCAAATGCATGACCACACAGCCCCCTCCGCCCAATTTACCAGTTGATCAATATCAGACTGTAGCCTGAGAGCATCCTCCTCACTATCACCAATGCAACCAATTTTCCTGTCAGCTGCACATCTGTCCTATAATGTCACATCTTTCCTATAATGTGGTGACCAGGACTGTATACAGTACTCTAGCTGTGGTCTGACCAAAATTCTGTACAGCTTCAACATAACCTCCCTGCTCTTATAATCTGTGCCTCGACTGATGAAGTCAATGTCGATATAGAATCATAGAGATGTACAGCATGGAAACAGACCCTTCAGTCACACCCGGTCATGCTGTTGAGATATCATAAATTATTTGCCAGCATTTGGCCCTCTACCCCTCAACCGTTCCTATTCACGTACCCATCCAGATGCCTTTTAATTGTTGTAATTGTACCAGCCTTGACCACTTCTGGCAGCTCATTCTATACACGCATCACTCTCTGCATGAAAAAGTTGCTCTTTGGGTCCCTTTTAAATCTTACCCCTCTTACCTTAAACCTGTGCCCTGTAGTTTTGGACTCTGCTACCCTGGGGCAAAGACCTTGGCTGTTTACCCGATCCGTGCCCATCCTGATTTTATAAACTTCTGTAAGGTCACCCTCAGCCTCTGACGTCCAGGGAAAATAGTCACTACCTATTCAGCCTCTCCCTTTAGCTCAAACCCTCCAGCCCTGGCAACATCCTTGTAAACTTTTTCTCAACTGTTTCAGGTGTCACAACATCCTTCCGATAGCAGGGAGAACAGAACTGAACATAGTATTCCAAAAGTGACCTAACCAATGTCCTGTCCAGCCTCAACATGACCAAACATTTCCCATACTCAATGCACTGACCAATAAAGACAAGCGTACCAAACGCCGCCTTCACTATTGTGTCTACCTGTGACTCCATTTCCAAGGAACTATGAACCTGCACTCCAAGGTCTCTTTGTTCAGCCACATTCCCCAGAACCTTACCATTAAGTGTATAAGTCCTGCCCTGATTTGCCTTTTCAACATGCACCTCACATTTTTCTAAATTAAACTCCCATCTACCACTCATTGGCCCATCTGATCAAGATCCCGTTGTACTCTTAGATAACCTTCTTGGCTGTCCATTACATCACCAATTTTTCTGTCATCTACTAGCCATACCTCCTATATTCACATCCAAATCATTGATAGAAATGACAAAAAGCATTGGATCCAGCACCGATGGTCATAGGCCCCCAGTTCAAGAAGCAAGCCTCCTCCACTACCAGCCTCTGCCTCCTACCTTCAAGCCAGTTGACTATCCAAATGGCTAGTTTTCCCTGTGAACTATCCTTGCTAACCAGATTACCATGTGGAATTTTGTGAAACTCCTTACTGAAATCCATATAGACCACGTCTTCTGCTCTCCCTTCATCAATCCTCTTTGTCGCTTCCTCAACAAACTCAGTCAAGTTAGTGAGACACGATTTCCCACGCTCAAAACCACATTGACTATCCCTAATCAATCTTTGATGGGATGCATGGTAACTTGCCAAACTGGATCCAAAATTGGCTCAGTACTGGGAAACAGGGTGATGGTAGAAAGCGGTTTCTGTGACTGGAACGCAGTATGCAGTGACATACCACAGGGATCAGTGCTTTTTGTGATATTCGTACATGATGTAGATAAGAATTGAGAGAGATGATGACTAAGTTTGTGAATGACACAAAAATTAGTCAGGTATTTGACAGTAAGGAGACAGGTGTTAGGTTACTGGAACATATGAACAGGTTGGTCAGAAGGCAGAATAGTGGTGTTGGAATTTAACCCTGATAAATGGGAAGTGATGCACTTTGGAAGAAGGAACAAGTCAAGGGTGTACTCAATGAATGGCAAAACATTAGGAAGCTCGAACGAACAAAAGGATCTCGTGCTCGTCCACATATTCCTGCAGGTGGCAGGACAGGTCCGTTCTTGTGGTTCAGAACGCATAAGGGACGCTTGCCTTTATTGGTCATTGCGTAGATTCCAAGAGCAGGGTGTTACGAAGCAGGGGAAGGTTGAACCCTTCGGATAATTAACCCAAAACACAAGCCCCAATCTGTTGTTATGGGAGTAGAGGTTCCCTTCTAATAATGACCCTGAAACACCCAGAGAAGCTTGCTCTGTAATTTGTTAAAAGAAAATCCCTGATCTCCACTGTCAAAGTCACAAGTAACAATAACAATTTATTTATTTAACCCTAACAATGACCAAATGAACAGAATTACTGACAAACAGAACAATTTTTGCACCCCTGCCCCACTCCACCCCATACAACAGGCACCATCTATTCCCTAACTGACCTGAATTCTCCTGGTATGCTGTCCAAATAAACACAAGTCCCACTTATTATAAGCCCAATTAATAAGACAACAATAAATTAAAACATAATCTCTCCAACTTTGCATAAAATGTGTCTCTGGAACGCTCTTCCTTGTGTTGATCTCACGGCACAAACACTTTTCTTCCGCTGATTCTGCTGTCAGGGATGTTTTCTCAGTGAAGACTCTTTGCTAGAAGTGCTGTGGTGGTACCTTTTGTGGATAGGATGGTGCTTTCTTAGAGAGCTTAGTGATTTTTTTGTGTGAGCTGGGTGCTTGTTTGTCAGATGGCGGTGAGCTCTCTCATCCTTCAGATGGCAGTTGTCTGTCTTCCAATTTTCCAAATGTCCTCCTTATGTATACCCTTGATGATCTGTCCCTTTTTTTTAAACAATTGCATCGGTCCGAGGTTGTCAAAACCGTCAGATTTAAGTTCAATTGGCTTTCAATCCTTAAGTGCTTGATTTAAATTAATTGACCACTTCCAGCTCATTGCCAAAACATCAAAACAAGCCTAAGGACTCCAATTACACAACCAATCAGTACATGTTTCCATTTTTAGAACTGTCTGAAATTGCAGCTGCTTACAGACCCATTTTCTGTATAAATCTCTAATCTTCGGAAAGCACTCTATCTTTTAAAGGGACTGTGCAAACAAATTCTCGTTTCCTGCCTTCCAATTCACGGTTACTCTACGCAACTTGGTAACAAGGGAGGTCATGTCAGAGCTGTACAGCACTTGGTTCGGTCGCAGCTGGAGTACTGTGTGCAGTTTTCATTACCACACTGTATGAAGGATGTGATTGCTCTGGAGGGGGTGCAAAGGAGATTCACCAGGCTGTTGCCTGGTTGGATCATTTCAGCTATGAAGAGAGGCTGGATACTTTTAGGTTGTTGCCTTTGGAGCAGAGAAGGCTGAGGGGCGACCTGATAGAGATGTGTAAAATTATGAAGGGCATGGACAGGGTGGATAGAAAGCAGCTGTTCCCGACAGCTGAAGGGTCAATAATAAGGGGGCAGTACTTCACAGTGAATGGTAGAAGATTTAAAGGGTGATGGGGGCCTGGAATGCACTCCCTGGGCAGGAAGTTGAGGCGCGAAAGCTCAACTTTTCAACACTACTTGAACGAATTTTGGAAATGTCACGACATTCAAGGCTATGAGCCCAGTGTGCGACTCGAGTTAGTAGCGGAATAGTTTTGGCTCTACAGACTTGCTGGGCCATTGGGCCTCTTCTGTACTGTATGATCCTATAATCCTCCTCCTCCTGAGTAAAGACAGATGTGAAGTACTCATTTAACACGCTGCCAACATCCTCTAGCTCCACACAGATTGCCCCCTTGACCCCTAATGGCCTGACTCTTCCCCGGTTATGCTCTTTCCTTGATATCCTTGTAGAATATCTTGGGATTCTCCCTAATCTTCCCTGCCAGTGTTTTATTACGCCCGACTTTGCTGTCCTCATGTCTTTCTTATGTTTCCCCCTTGTACTTTCTATTCTCCAGGGCCTCCATCACTTTCCTCACTTTGTACCTGTTAAAAGCTTCTCTTTCCCTTCTTATTCAGTCCTGAAATTTCATAGGCATCCAGAGTTCTCTGGGCTTATTATAGAGTCAGAGTTATAGAGGTTTACAGTGGAAAGAAAGGCCCTTCAGCCCATTGAGTCTGCACCAGTCATAGACAACTAAGTAGTTATTGTAATTTTCCAGCACTTGGCCCATAGCCCTTTATGCCTCTGGATCGCAAGGGTCCATCAGAATATTTCTTAAATGCTCCTACATTTCCCCCAGAGGGAACGTGTTTCACCTAATTCCTTTTTGAACAACCCCACTGTTCTGCTGAAGTTTACTCACACATAGCTGTCTAAGGCTGACCCTGCCTTATTTTAAAACAATTTGCCTTTCTCAACCCACAGCCGTTTTTCGCAGACAATCTGTTTTTTTTTCTCTCTGCTGCCTCACAGCACCAGGGAACTGGGTTCGATTGTAGCCTTGGGCGCCTGTGTGGAGTTTGTACAATCTTCCCCGTGTCTGTGTGGGTTTCCTCCAGGTTCTCCAGTTTCCTCCCACAGTCCAAAGATGTGCAAGTTAGATGGATTGATAATGCTAAATAACCCTGTAAAGTCCAAGGATGTGCAGGCTAGTTGAATTAGCCATGGGAAATGTGGATTTATGGGGATAGGGTGGAAACTGGATTTAGGTGAGATGCTTTTCGGAGCAACGGTGCAGACCAGATTCGCCGTATGGCCTCTTTCTGCGCTGTCGGGATTCTGTGAATTAGATCCAGCACTGCATTTTCACATGTTGGAGCTACTACATGCTGATATAAAAAAACACTCCTGAGTACATTTGAATAAATCTCCCCCTCTAAACTGTTTACACCATGACTACACCAATTAATGCTGGCGAAGTTGAAATTCTGTAATCTAACTACTAGGTTGTTCTTTTTACATACCTCAGTGAATTGTCTGCATTATTCATTTCATTTCTCTTCCGATGCTGAGGTTATATTGACTCTCAAGTTTTTAATTCCTTGTAACTTATTCTGCACACCCTTAACATTAACTGATTCTCTGTCCTCAGATACTGCCTGACCTGTTGCGATTTTCCAGCATTTTCTGTTTATTTCAGACTTGCAGCAGCTGCAGTATTTTGCTGCTCTTTTGATAATAAGACCATAAGACGTAGGAGCAGAAATTAGGCCATTCAGCCCATCAAGTCTGCTCCACCATTCAATCATGGCTGATGTGTTCCTCAACCCCATCTCGGCCTTGCTCCCAGAACCAAGTCTAGAAACACAGACGGATGAATTAAAAGCCCATTTCTGACAGGGTGGGTGTTGGTCACAGATTGTGGCCTATTGGTTCCTATTAATTGAGTCACACAAAATCACTGAATGATTACAATGGAGAAGGAGGCTACTCTGTCCATTGTGTCTGTGCTGGCCTTTCTCCAAAAACAAATCAGCGATTCCTATTATTTGCCCTTTTCTTTCCTCTTCAGGGGCTTTTCTGGTTAGCTTTTGAATGTCTTTGTTGAATCAGATTGAGCTGGAGTGGTGATGGCGGAGAAGCTGCTGAGTTTACCCTGAGTCCTTTCAAAGCCAGCTGGGCCCCGCAATTTCCAGTGTGAAGTTCTCAAAGGAGCTGGACTCGAGGAAGAACGGGTTGCTTAAAAAAACACTCTCCAGACAATGTATAACAAAAAAAATGGCTTGGCGAACAAATATTCTGCAGTTGCTGCAGAAACATGGGTGTTAACTTTCCAAAATGCATTAGATTCTGGAAAGTTTCTGTCTCACTGCAAAATAGCAGATACAACCCCTGTATTAAAGAGGTGAGGAAGGCAGACAACAGGAAACTATAGGCCAGTTAGGTTGATCTGTCATGTAGGGGATGAGAATCAATTATTTGGTGGTATTATCACCAGACTATTAATCCGGGGACCTGGGTTCAGATCCTGCCATGGCAGATGGTAGAATTTGAATTGAATAAAACTCTGGTTTTAAGTCCAACGATGGTCATGTTACGAATGTGGGCAGTTACGAATGTCGACGAATGCTGGCCCAGCCAGCGACGCCCACTACCTCTGCATGAATTTAAAAAAACTGAAGAAATAAAAGTAAACAATAGGATTTACATGCATTTAGAAAGATAAGGACTGACTAGGGAGAGTCAACATGGCTTTGTGCATGGGAAATCGTGTCTCAGTAAGTTGGTTGTGTTTTTTTGAAAATGTGGAAAAGAAGATTGAAGGCTGGGCGGTAGACATTGTCTATATGGACTTCAGCAAAATGCTCGACAAGGTTCTGCATAGTAAACTGGTTAGCAAGGTTAGATCATATTGGAATACAGGAAGACCTAGCCAGTTGAATACAAATTTGGATTCAAATGAGAAACAGAGGGTGGTGGTGGAGGGTTGTCTTTTGAACTGGAGGCCTGTGACCAGGTGGTGTGCCGTAAGGATCAATGCTGAGTCCACTGCTTTTTGTAATTATACAAATGATTTGGATGTGACAGTATGGTTAGTAAGTTTGCAGATGACACCAACATTGGTGACGTAGTGGACAGTAAAGAAGGCTATCTTCACTGAGTAGTTTGGGATCTTGATCAATGGGCTGAGGAGTGGAAGATGGAGTTTAGTTTAGATAAATGTGAGGTGTTGCATTTCGATAAGGCCAATCAGGGCAGTGTTTAAACAGTTAATGGTAAGGCCCTGGGGGGTGTTGCTGAACAAGGGGACTTAGGGTTGCAGGCGCATAGTTCCTTGAAAGCGGAGTTGTAGGTAGACAGGATGGTGAAGAAGGCATTTGGGACGCTTGCCTTCATTTGTCACTGCATTGAGTTATAGGAGTTGAGATGTCATGTTGCGACTGTACAGGACATAGTTAGAATACTGTATTCAGTTCAGGTCTCCCTGCTATGGGAAAGAAGTTGTGAATCCTGAAGGGGTTCAGAAACGATATACAGGGATATTGCCGGTATTGGAGGGTTTGAGCTGTGGAGTGGGAATGAAAAGGCTGGGGTTTTTCTTCCCTGGAGCGTTGGAGGTTGAGTTGTGAGGCTTACCGCATCAACTGCCCTCCCAGGCAGTGCATTCCAGACCTGCACCACCCTTTAGGTGAAAAATGTTTTCCTCCATTCCCCTGTAAAACTCTTGCCTTTCACTGCAAAATGATGCCCAGTGTTATTCAACCTTCAACTAAGGGAACAATTACTTCATTGTGTTTCTCCAATTTAGTGGAATTCTTTGAGGAGTGACATGTGCCATGTGCTTTGGATAAAGGGAGCCTGATGATAGATTGTACTTGGCTTTCCTGAAGGCATTTCACAAGGTACCATGGAGAAGGTGTCTGTTCAGAGAGGGAGCTACTGGTTTAGTGGTACATACCAGCCTGGAAACTGGATTGGCTGGCTGGCAGAAAACCGAGAATATACATAAATGGGTCTGTTTCAGATTGTCAGAATGTGATGAGTAGGGAGCCACAGGGTTCTGCTCAACCAAAACCTTTTGCAGTTTATATCAATGACTTGGATGAGGGGAATGAAGTCATGGTAGCTACACTTTGTGTTGATACAAAGCTATCAGGAAAGGTTGCTGTGAAGAAGACTTAATTTCTCTACAATAGTCTGCAGCCTTTTTGAATGAATATTTCAGGTGAGCTATGATATAGCAAAATGTGAAATTGTTCACTCCAGGGGAAAAACGAGCAAAGAAAATCAGTCCAGAGGATAGGTGCAGAATCTTGTGGGGCTGAGATATCTAGGGGGTCTGGTGTGTGATGCACAAAACATGGGTATATAGTTAACAACAAGTGATGAAGAAGGCTCATGGAATGTTATTGTTTATCACAAGTGGAATCAAACAGAAAAGTAAGGAGTTGATGATTCAGTTGTACAGGGCATAAGTGAAACCACACCTCCACAACTGTGTGCAGTTTTGGTCTCCTTATTGAAGGAAGGGTGTAAATGCGGTGGAGGTTCAATAGACTGATATCTGAATGAGTGGGTTATCTTAGGATATTTTGGACAGCCTGGGCTTGTATGCTCACACGTTCAGAAAAGTGAGGTGTGATTTGACTCATGCCTGAATGGGTTTTGACGAGGTGAACGTGGAGATATTTTCTCCTGAGGGTAAGTCCAGAATGGGGAAGACTATTCCAAAACGAAGACTCCTCGTTTTAAAACAGAGATAAGTTCCTCATTCAAGATGAGTGTGATTTTGGAACTCTCTGCCTCAAAAGGCGGTCGAGACTGGGTCATTGAACGTTTTTAAGGCAGAGGTGGATAGATTCTTGTTCAACCAGGGAATCAAAAGTTATTGGGGTAGCTGGAAATTCAAAACATGAACTCATCGGTCATGGTCTTATTGAATGATGGAGCAGGCAGGAGGGCCCGATAGTTCATATGTTGGCCTTTGTATTCATACATTTGACATGGAGCCAAATGAGATACTGGGACAGATGCATGACTTTGTATTTTTTATGAGGAGACTCTCACTTCCATTATTTCTGTTCTAAATCAATTCCACAGGATATTAGAAGGAGAGGATTTACAGTCGGGAAACTGCAACTGATCAGGATTTCACAGAGTGGCCCAATTCGGTGTAACCTGAATCTCATTGGATTTTGAACATGGAAGGAGAAAACACCATTGACAGCAGTGAGAAACTGTATGTGTGTAGTGTGTGTGCACGAGCGTTCAACCGATCATCTGACCTCTCGAAACATAAACGGAGTCACAAAGAGAAACTGTGGAAATGTGGGGACTGTGGGAATGGATTCAGATCCCCGACTGAACTGGAAACTCATCGGCGCAGTCACACTGGGGAGAAACCATTCTCCTGCTCTGAATGTGGCAAGGGATTCGGTCAGAAATCCCACCTCCAGAGACACCAGCGAGTTCATACTGGGGAGAGACCATTCTCCTGCTCCGAGTGTGGGCAGGGATTCACTAATTCCTCCAACTTGCTGATACACCAGCGAGTTCACACTGGGGAGAGGCCGTTCATCTGCTGTACGTGCGGCAAGGGATTCACTTTGGCTTCCAGCCTCCAGACACATCAACGAATTCACACCGGGGAGAGACCATTCACCAGCTCCTAGTGTGGGATGGGGATTCTCCGACACATCCAGCTTGATGACACATCGGTGAGTTCACACTGATGAGAGTGTTTTCCTGTTCCCACTGCAGGATGGTGTTGAGGCGTTTATCTGAACTGACTGTACATCAGCAGACTGCCTGTGAATAAGCTGAGTGAGGGGATTCACTGAATCTGCCACCTTGTGGACAGTTCACACTGGGGAGAGGCTGACTCCCCCTGCACCAAGTGAGGGACATATTCACTCTGTCATCCAGCCTGCTGAAACACTAGTGAGGACATTGTGTGAAGAATCTGTTCACGTGCTGAATGTGGAAAAGCATTCACTCAGTCATCCAGCCAACTGAGAAACCATCGGGTTTGCACAGGGGAGAAGCCTTTACAATGTCCAAACTGAACGAAGTATTTGAAAAGTTCCTGGGAGCTGACCTCCCATGTACTTGTTCACATTGACGTGAGTCCATGTCAGATGCTCTTACTGCAGGACTGATTTCAGGTGAGGAACTCACCCCACTCTACAGCAGTGAGTTCACACTGGGGAAAGGATGTTCACCTTCTCTGTGTCGGGGAAGGGATTCATTTGAGTTATGGAGACAGCTGAAATGCCAGTGAGTTCCTGAGTAACTACAGTGATGAAAGATGTATAATTTATATAAATTCCAGTCTTGGAAGTTGGCTTTTACGATGGAGACACTGAAAGTTTTCTTTAAAATAAAAAATGAGTCTTTGTGAAACAGTGACCTTCCTCCAGCACTGCTCAGAAAGCAAGTGGCTGTGGAGTTAATGGGAAATTGTTTAGACTCTGTTGATTTACAACATGAGCAAACATCAAAGGACATTATCTTGTTTTCAGTTCAGAACAATCAAGGATTGATTTTAGTTTATAAACCCAGGGTTAGAAGGTATTTTATTCATTTTGGAGATCTGACTGTGATCAGAATCAAGTTTAGTCTCTACTATATAGAGCTCAGAATAATTCGGTGGGAAAAGGAACAAAAAGTCAGCCGAGTAGAACTTCCGAACCAAGAGAGTTTGGTTTGAGCTCTGAAGGTATTAAAAGCAGAAAATGTTTATTCTGAGATTTGAGAGTATTCATGAAAGAAAATTCTATAGTTCACAGGAAAAGTTTGGGCCAAACCAGTTCAGATATAACTTAGAGATTTAATATTGGGTGTAATTTCTCTGGATTAAATTCTGTGTAAATTGATGTGGGCACACAGTTGCAGCAGGTAATCAGGAAGGCTTATGGAACATTGGCACTTTATTTCAAGGGGGTTGGAGTTTTGGAGTTGGGATGTTTTACTGCAACTGTACAAGGTGCTGGTGAGACCACATGTCGAATGCTGAGAATAGTTTTGGTCCCCTTTTAGGGAAGGAAAGGTATCATTTCATTTAAGGTAGTTCAGAGAATGTTCTCCAGGATGTTCCCTTGTCCAGAGGGACTGTCGTATGAGCAAAGGCTAAACTTGTTGGGAGTCTACTCACGAGTTCAGAAGAATGAGAAGTGATGAAACATATTAGATGAGGCTTGAAAGGATTTTTCACCTCATGGAAGAATCTCAGACCAAAGAGCATAGTCTCAGAATATAGGGCCACCACCAATTTAAGACTGAGATGAGGAGGAATTTCTTCTGTCAACAGTTGAGAGCCTCTGGAACTCGTTGCCACGGAACAGTGAGGCAAAGTGGGGCCTTGTGTAAATTGAAGGCTGACATAGTTTCTTGATGAAGGATTATGGGGAAATCACAGAAAAGCAACCATGAAGAATGTCAGATCAGCTCTGATCCTGTAGAAATGGCAGAGCAGAGCAGGCTCAAGCGGCCGAATGGTGCTGTTGGGAACATTGTTTTTCTCTCTGTTTTTGTCTTGTGTAATAAACAATCTGTTTTTTGCTTAAAAAATCTCTCAGCCTCACATGACTGACCACCAAATTAAGAGTAATCTCACTTGGAGATAGTCAGCCACATAATTAAACTGGTCACCCAATGTACCAGAACATGTGAAAAAAAAAGTCTCATCCAATACAAAATAATAAATGAAGTACAATTCAACCTGATACTCTCGTTGTTCAAGAAGTTATCCTATATTCACTCACAGGAGCAAAGACTTTCAGAAGCAGAGTGAAACTCTAACTTGCGTACCAGACTTAAGGTGGATATTTACAGAAGAAATCCCTCCCTCTCCCATTGAGAGAGAGGAAGTTTCAAAATGAGTAAAGCGCAAGCAGCCCTCCAACTCCATTTTAATTTAATCCCTACTTCCTGTCACTTTTTTCATGTTAGCATTGCCCTGGTCACATTGTGTTTTTGCTGGTGGTGGAAAGTCCAGCAGCTGTTTTGGTTTATCTCGGTTCAATTTGAAAGCCTCTCACTGACAGCAGAAAGCCTTACTTACAGCATTCTACCACCAGGCAGGACCCCTGCAGAGACTTACAAATTAATAAAAAAGGAAACACATGTAAAATCTATTCGTGGAACTCGGAGGGAAACAATTTTCTTTTGCTTGCCGGCAAGTGATGGGGACACTTGTTTGCTGGGTGTGAAACTCAGGGTTTGTATTCCACCAGGGTTTGTATCTCCTGCACTAATCGAGTATTGAAATGGAACTTGAACACACAGAAGTAGCTGAAAAAATGACTCTGGTGTGTAATATGCTCCCTCTCTGTACAGGCAGGGAAAACAGGATGCAGCCAGGAATGAGGTGTATGTAGGGTCAGCGACCACTTGTTAATTTCCGCAACATTTGTAACAACACAATGCACATTCCCAGAATCACAGTGGTTCAACTGACCTATCCTGGATATGCTTCATATATTTATTCAGACAAAGCTTTACTCCACATAACCTGCCCTATTTATATATAACTCTGCTCCAATTCTTGTCAGAATTATGATGGGACAGCTTAAGTGGCCATGTGAGGGACAAATGTATTCATGGTGAAGGGATAAAGTCAGTTTCTTTTTTGAATAGCTGACTGTGCACAGGATCCCAGGTCATAGCATGAGTTTTGAGATGACACAATTTGGCAATGGTGTAAGCAAGGAAAAGAAGTGGAGCAAACTTCAGGAGGCTACAGGGATTCTGATAAAATGGACAACAAACCAATGGGTGGAATGCAAAATGGGTGCAGGGACAGTGAAAGTTCTGGTTTAATTTATGTTAAACCGAATCTTGCGTATGTGGAAAATAAGGCTGGAATTCTGTCTGTTCAGGGAAAGCATGTTAAAAGCTGTTTCATTCATACTTCCTTGCATTTTAGAAAATGTTAGTTTGTTTGGCAGAAGGATGTGGGGAGTTGTTTGAAGACAGTTGGGTTTTGATTGAGGATGCTGTTCCCACAACCTTCCAGGAAGTGGTCTGAGATAATTACGTGCTTCACACTGCCTGGATTCCTTTCTATGCTTCAAACGCGAATGTACAGAAAAGCTTACATGTCAGATCAGCCACTGAATTTACTTGTTTGTCATAGTCGTAGAATGGTACAGCTTGGAAACAGGCCCTTTGGTTGACGTGGACGAGTTGGTCCAGACTGCCTAAATTAACCTAGTTCCACTTGCTAGAATTTGTCCCTTATTCCTCTAAACCCTTCCTATTCATATACACATCCAGATGCTTTTTAAACATTGTAATTGTACCAGCCTCCACAACCTCCTCTGGCAGCTCATTCCATGCATGCACGACCCTCTGAAAAAGTTGCCCCTTGGTCATTTATTATCTTCCTCTTCACACCTTAAAACTATACACCCTCTAGTTTTGGATTTTGCCACCCTAGGGAAAATACCTTGCTATTCACCCTATCCATCTCCCTCATGATTTTCTAAACCTCTGTAGAGGTCACTCCTCAGCTGCTGAGGTTCCAGGGGAAAAAAAAAGCCCCAGCCTATTCAACCTCTCCCAACAGCTCAAACCCTCCAACCTTGACAACATCCTTGTAAATCTTTTCTGAACCCTTTCAAGTTTCACAACATCCTTTGTATAGCAAGGAGACCAGAATTACACATAGTATTGCAAAAGTGCCCTAACAGATGTCCTGTAAAGATGCAACATGACCTCCCAACTCCCATACTCAATGCACTGACCAATACAGACAGGTATACCAAACACCTTCTTCACTATCCCATCTACCTGCAACTCCACTTTCAAGGAACTATTAATCTGCACGGCAACGTCTCTTTGTTCAGCAACATTCCCCATCAAGGTGTGCAAGTTCTGGCCTGAGTTGGCTTTCCAAAAAGTAGCACCTCACATTTACCTGATGTAAACTCCATCTGCCACTCATTTGAGTTCATTCCACAAATAAACAGTTTCTCCAATTCCATACTAACCTGTTCTGACTTTCAAATCTCGATTGTCTAAATATAAAATTTAAAAAAAAAGAGAATTGCAATCAAATAAAGCTCATGGGTGGATTAATTCACTCCCATCTCACCACTGGATGCAGGTGCATATCTCATATTCACTATTTACTCGTGATTGTATGTGATATGTGCCACCTAAGGAGCATTGCAAACAGTACAACATTAAGTTGCGAAAGGATATTGAAGCCTGTAATTCACACTCATCTAGAATTCTATACATAAAGCACGCTAAACCACTCGATTAAATTCTAGTCCATGAACATTGGTATTAGTAATCCTAGACTGAAATCACCAGAACCATCGATTAGATGCTAGTTTGTTTTAAATACTCGTTTCAGCTTATTCATCAAAAACCCAATGTTAATATAAAACAAATTAAATAATCTCAAATCTTTAAATCAAACATTCAACACAAAATACAGCACACGTTCAACAACTGCTTCAGTGCTAAACATACAACCGCCATCCTCTCTTCAGAGAGCCGCCCAAAACCTTACATTGAGAGCGAGACCCGAGAAGAGGATAGCGGCATATGCGGAGGGGGTACAGTACTGCAGATAGTCATATCTGGTCGAAAACATCATGTCAAGAGATACTGAATCGCTTTGTGGTTACCGGGGTCATTATTTCTAGATTTCTAAATTTATTGGTGTTCCTCCACCAGTGTCAGATCTTTCCAAAGCAATTACAGGAAACTGCCGCATGGATGCATTCCGTCCAGGCGGTTATAGCTCAGTAACAATAACTGACGGCAGGGTGAATATTGTGTTACCGGTCTCTCAGTAATACGAAGGAAATTAAAATTAACTCGGCAGTGGTGACAGTCCAGTTTCTTTCACAGATGCTGTGGGTGGCTCTTAAAAGAGCCTTTGGGTCGGCAGATTTAAGAACGTCTCTTCACTTTTTAGTGGCGCCCCCAGCGGCGGTTTTCTTGGGCAGCAGCACGGCTTGGATATTAGGCAGCACCCCACCCTGAGCGATGGTCACCCCTCCCAGCAGCTTGTTGAGCTCCTCGTCGTTGCGCACGGCCAGTTGGAGGTGCCTGGGATGATGCGGGTCTTCTTGTTGTCCCTGGCCGCGTTACCGGCCAGCTCGAGGATTTCAGCCGTCAAGTACTCGAGCACCGCAGCCAAATAGACCGGCGCTCCGGCACCCACAAGCTCAGCATAGTTACCCTTTCTCAGGAGCCTGTGATCACGGCCCACCGGGAACTGGAGGCCAGCCCAGGACGACCGGGACTTCGCCTTGGAGCGAGCTTTCCCACCAGCGCCCTTTCCTCTCCCAGACATAGCCACAATATCACAAACACCTTCATTGAGAATGCTGCAATGCGCCCACATTCCGCCCTCTTATACCTTCGGGAGGAATGGTGGTGCGGCCATTGCTGAGTGGTCACATTGTTCAGCGTCTCCTAATTTCGTTTCAATTTCCAACCAGACACCTGCTTCACTCCGGAGAGGAGGCCGCAAAATACCGGCGCCAAATCATCAACTGCTTTCTTTCATCCTCGAAAAGCCCGCCAAAATGTACAAAAGAGGGAGTTTTACAGAGGAATGCGTAAAGAGTTACGAGTTAGTTTAGTTTTAGCTTACAAATGTACACTTCACACAATCTCTTTACCTCATTCAGTCCATTTAAATCTCTCAATTTCGGATCTTTAGTGGGATTTTCTGAATTTTAAGTACAAGCGGAAACAAGATCAAAGCGCCAAAAGCCACACTCTGCAGCATTCTTTTTCTTTCAATTTATTTAAAAAGCCTATCGGTATATTGATAAAACATTAGACATCGTTCTTCCCGGTGAGCGCATTAACAGCGAACACCGTCTCTGGACAATATTTTAAATTCGCGCTCCCTTATCGTACCTGATCACACCTCAGCAAAAGCACAAATTTGCTGTTCCAGTTCTGATTTATCTCGGTTTATTTTGAAAGTCTCTCACCCACAGAACAAAGCCTCATTTACAGCACTCTACGAATGGACACAACTCCCGTGGAGATTTGGAAATTAAAACAAAAGACCAGCGATTTCAAAATGTATCTATTCGGGGGATTCAAGAACAGGGAGACATTTTTTTTCCAGGGATGAACTTCACGGTTCATACTCCACCACGGCGTGCAGCTCCTAAACTGACCGAGTATTAAAGGACAACTAACGGAATTAGCTCAGCAATGGCTGGTTCAATTTGCTCTCTCTCTGCAGGTAGGGAAGAGACTGTGTGCGAACGCAACCGAAAACAAAGTGCAGAGGAACAGCGACCACTTATCACACAAACTTGAACAGCCAAATGCGATTCCCCAGAATCAATTTCAAACTAAAGCAAATCAGTAATAAAGAGACAATGGCTCAGCTTCTTTTAATGAAGTTGTGGGTGGCTCTTAGAAGAGCCTTTGGGTTATGGATGTGTGTTTTTCAGCACAATGTGGTGCCTCACTTGGAGCTGGTGTACTTGGTCACCGCCTTTGTACCCTCCGACACGGCGTGCTTGGCCAGCTCCCCGGGCAGCAGCAGCCGCACGGCGGTCTGGATCTCCCGGGAGCTGATG